TTGTTTGTTGCTCATTAATTAGTTACCCAAACATGGGACTTTGGGATGTAAGTTTACGATTAGGAACAATTAATTAGGTACATAACTTCCCCATCTAAACAATTGTAAATTAAAATATCTAAGATTTTGACGACAGATTACCTACTAGGTATTAATATTTTTGTTAATATGTTCGTTGCCTTCTCTTTTTTTGTAATTAATAGGAGCAAACGAGCAGACGGGTCACCTGATGGTTAGTGATCAGCGCTGCTCATGAAATACCTACGAGAAGAATTACAGGCGCGTTGCCGGCCTTTCAAGAAGGCGTACCCGCGGTACTTAAAGTTTTATATGTTGAACGTTGCTTTCGGTAGTGGTTAAAATAGTAATGCATGGGTACACACCAAAAAAATCGTTTATATTTATTTAAATAGTCTAATATGACTTATAGCTACATTTTGGAAATACTCGTATTTAATATGCACTGTCGTAGTAAGTACCTACTGTCTAAACATCAATAGCACATCATCAGCCTATAAGCGCCCACTGTTGAGCAAGAATCACCACGCTTGCTTAAGGCGGATTGGCGATTTTAATCTTATAATCAAGTAGAAATTATAAGTCCAGAGGGCCTACAGAGCCTAAAGAGGGATGGAGCTATACACTATACCTACATCTCTCTCTCTCTCTCTCGCCCGGAAGATTGACGCTTTAACACGCCATGGTAGGCATACTGGTTTCCTCACGATGTTTTCCTTCACCGTATGTCAGAGATCTTAGAAAGTATATACATGTGACATGGAATAAGTCACATTGGTACTTGTGTGGCCAGGTATTGAACCTGCCTCCTCACAAGGACAACCACGAACAACAGTATGGTAGGTACCTACTAATAAAAAAATACCTAATCAGCATCATTTAATTCTACGTATCCGATTTCTTATCATAAACGTATAAAGAACATACCTACCTACCTTAATAAAGGTGAATGGTAATGTGATTGATTGTACCCACACGTGAAAAAGGTCGAATAGAACCTCAGTGGCAGTGCAACATAGGCAAAATTAAAAAGAAAGAGAAAATTAGCTGAATATTTGTTTGTTGCTCATTAATTAGTTACCAAAACATGGGACTTTAGAATGGAAGTTTACGATTAGGAACAATTAATTAGGTACATAACTTCCCCATCTGAACAATTGTAAATTAAAATATCTAAGATTTTGACGACAGATTACCTACTAGGTATTAATATTTTTGTTAATATGTTCGTTGCCTTCTCTTTTTTTGTAATTAATAGGAGCAAACGAGCAGACGGGTCACCTGATGGTTAGTGATCAGTGCTGCTCATGAAATACGAGATGAATCACAGGCGCGTTGCCGGCCTTTCAAGAAGGCGTACCCGCGGTACTTAAAGTTTTATATGTTGAACGTTGGTTTCGGTAGTGGTTACAATAGTAGGTAGTGCGGGGACACACCAAAAAGATTCGTTTATATTTATTTAAATGGTGTAATATGACTTACTTACCTATTTGCTTCCTGAAAATTTTCATAACAATGCAGAAATTTTTTCACTAAAACTAAGTAAGTAAATAGAGCCTAATATCTCTGTGTTCTTGTATTCACACGGGTGTTCAACTACCCATTGAACGAACCCATGCTTACTATTTACTTACTTTCCTGCAATTTTCTTTCGTAAAAAACGTTCTACCTACTGACGAAAACAGATACGACAAAAAAGAAATTGGTTCAGGCGATGTTGAGTTATGCGCTTACACACATTTAGGGAAAAAAATTGGTATAGATTAATAGGTATCTACATAGTGTTCTTATGAAAGCCAGTTGGCGAATCAAAGGTTTATCGGTAAAAACATTTAATTGTGCTCGTACATTCTGATGATATGTAAGTAGTAGGTATACCTATTCGTATGGTTTTCTAATTCTTTATTGAATTTATATTTGAAGTCTGTTTAAGATATATTAGTAAGACTCATTACTATATCTTAGAATTAGAACTTAAGACTCAAACATAAAGTAAGTAGGTAGAACTTATTAATAATTTCCTTTATTCTTATGTTCTGAGAAAAAGAAATGATGCAAAAGTAAAGCTCGTTACGATAAAAAAATATGATAGATAACAATTATGTTAACTTTTAATGTTTCGTGTTATGAAAGAGTTCGAAACCTCTTTGGTATAAATTTTTTTGATTACAGATTTTTATTATTATTATTTTAAAGTTAAGTACCTACTCAGTACCTACAGTAAGTTTTATGTTAATTGACTGATTTAATAATATTGGGCTTCTTATATGGAGCTCCTTTTTTTCAAGGCCGTCCGATAGAGCTTACTAAAAGTTTAACTTCATAAATTACATAACAGTATAAGATGCATGTAGAATAAAAAAGTATTTTGAGTAAATATTTTACAATAAAGTTATTAATGATTTGTTCCTTTATAAGTAGATAAGTTAAGTATCTAGTAACTTAGGTACCTTCTTAAAAATACTGCGTATTGGTTAAGGTTCCATGGTTTAGCCACTATGGGCAAGTTCACGAAATGTATTATAATAAGTAACTTACGGAAGGCAGCAAGACCAGCTCCAAAAGCTAGCTGTTGGTGCGGCAGCAGCATAGGGCGAGGGCACAGCGGCAGCGGCGGCGGTGGTGGCCACAGTTGGGGCTCCCTGACCTGCAACTCCACGGCACCCTCACTCTCGCCTATCTCCACGTCCGATGACGAGTCGCTCTCGAACCCTGGCACAGTTTCTACCACACTTGATCGTTTAGGCTCCTCTAGATGACCGTAAATTCTGGCAAAGAATTTCCGCGGTGACGACGGTCGCGGTGTTTGTAACGTTTCCGCGGTTTTCGTGTCTGTCTGACCATTATCTTCGAGTTCCTCGCTCATCGCGATAATCACTGGGCACACACGTGTGATCTGATTACGGGATAGTGATCAATTGACAGCGTCAGGTGCATAACATCCCCGAGGGATGCCCCGCCTCCGTTCGCTCCCTTTTCATCCCGCGCGGGAACAATGAGGGGAAAGGGTGAGACCAATGAGCGCCCTCCATTTTTACAAACCCGACCCTCTAGGCGGGACTTTAAGTTGGTCAAAGTTTTCATTTTCCTAACTTATTTAAGGAAATAAGTTGTTGTTAGCGTTTTTTTATAAGTTCTTTTTTTACCCGACTGCCAAAGAAGGAGGGTAATGTTTTTCGAGTGTATGTAAGTATGTATGTATGTCTTTTCCTTTGTGACCTCCTGTAGCCTAAACGGCTTGATGGATTTTGATGTATGAGGTATCGTTAGATTTGTCTTGATTACGGGAGTGTCATAGGATACATTTTATCCTAAAAGTCCCACGGGATAAAGACATAATAATATTTTTTCTAAATTTCCCTTTAAAAAAACAGCTAAAAAGTTATAAATAAAAAAATTATTATTAAAAAAACAAAATACCCGACTGCACACTAAAAAAAGAGTAAAACAAGCCCCACAATACAAATTTACTGAATATAATTTATAAATGTTGATGGAAAGCATCGCAGGCGGGGACCACCTTGACCGCCACCAACGAAAATTCTGCTAAATGGTGCACAACAGAAATGACTATAAATAAGCCTCTGTTGGTCCCCGCCTGCGATGCTTTCCATCAACATTTATAAATTATATTCAGTAAATTTGTATTGTGGGGCTTGTTTTACTCTTTTTTTAGTGTGCAGTCGGGTATTTTGTTTTTTTAATAATAATTTTTTGATATGTGTACCTACCTACTTTTTCTGTTGGTTAATGGTTGGTATATATTTTTTAAGTTTAACCTACGTATTTTATCAAATTATTAACAGTTCTCAACTCTCGACTATTTTAAGGAACCCGAGACAAAAAATAACGACAGTCTAGTGACATTTTTGCTGAAGTATATATACATAGTATTTGTTATGTATATATAATTTACTAAATATATACATAGTATGTATATATACATAGTAAATTAGGTGCGTATATAGCAAATATTTACGCACCTAATTTTAAACCCGTTTTGTTAGCATAGTATTGCAGTACCAATCCATAATCATCATCATCATCATTCTCAGACTCTTAAGAAGTCGTCGGAGGTCTGCGCACGTTGTCTTCCGGTCCGTCCAAAAACCGATAAATTATTGATTTTTAGCGCGCCACAAAACATGTAAGTAATAAGTTCTTGGTCATCTATCTGGAGTTACACGTGTTATTCTGAGTAAACCATAAAAGATAGACATATACTGTTGTAGGACATTTTGTGGATAATTTTATGTTGAATATTCCCGTGATACATAATTTCTATGTAACTTTAACCATTAAGGCTGCACATCCGGTGGAAGCATAAAAATGGAGTAATTCGTTTTCCCAACATTTCCCCTCACTCCTCTGCTCCTATTAATTGTAGCGTGATAAAAATATGAAAGATATATCCTATAATCTGCCCAGGAATATGAAGAATAATTGTACCGAGTTTCGTTAAAATCCGTCAAGTAGTTTTTGTTCCTATAAGGAACATACAGACAGACAGACAGACAAAAATTTTACTGATTGCATTTTTGCCATCAGTATTGATAACTTGTCATCTCCTGATAGGTTATTCTTTTGAAAATATATTTCATGTACAGAATTGAACTCCCTACAGATTTATTATAAGTATAGATATAGATTTTTTTTACCTATACATTACCGTTTAACATTCTACAGTGTGCTGTTAGCTAAGCTTCATAGTATAGAATGAGAGTCATCTCAACAGAATTGTTCATTTATTTTATTTTATCATTTCATTCGAATTATGTAGATAGGTATCTCAGATACCTAACTACCTTTCTTTTAATTGTTATAGGGTCTTTACCTACTGTTATCACCACTGCAGAAAAACTTCGGTAGGTAAGGTAGAAAATAAAAGTGATGTCATCATAATATATTGTTACTAGCTATTTTGTAATCAAAATCAAAATATTTAATAAAAGTCAACGTCTTTAATGAAACTTAACAGATGTAGAATACGTATCGGCAAATCCTTCCATAAAAAATCGGTAATGCGATTGCGAACTCTTTACAAACAAACCTCCCGATGTAATTAGACGTTAGAAAAAGTAAAAACACCATAAATGGTTGCGAACGATAAGAAATTGTTGCTTATCCATTTTAATGTTTAAACATTTGGTAAATTCCAGAACAATGCAACGTAATGCCGCATTTTTAACCATTTTGTGCATATTTTTGTGTTTAACTTTCAACTACACCTTCCCGCTGCACAGAGAGGGTTCCTCCAATGTGTTCAGAGATGTATATGGTAATCGTAAGTATTTTTATATATACTTATTAATGACATAACATCCAACCTTTATTCCCCGAAGACGTGAGCAAAAGTGCACAAATATCCATTACGATTTTATTCCCATGCAATAAGGCGTAAGTGTATTAGGTACCCTACGTCACATGCAGGGCAATGTGCCAGACACCTTCCTATTGCTGAATTTTGACTCCTTATTGTTTTTTTGTAGATTCCAAAATATGCACCAGAAGCGATCATCACGACAATATGTTAGACAGAACTAAAAAGATGGGCAACAAATTAGACAATGTATTCAAAAGATTCAAAGACTCGACACAAGATTTGTCAAGAAATATTCAAGCACGTCTCACCAATGTGAAAAACTCTTTAAGTGAAGAAGATCTACGACAATATGAACAACTTGTGATTATGAAAAAGTACCCCTATCTAGATCTTAAAGAAATAGAATTCAAATTCAATAGTCCACCCGAGAAAACGGCCAGGCAAAGTGTAAAATACGATGCAGGAAGAAACAACGTTGGCGACCCCAGTTTTTGTGAACCTTTAGATGAATCACCAAGTGTAGAAATAATAAACAGGGGTCTCACTGGATTTGCAATACCAGCAAAAATTGTAAAAAATACTAAGTTATTGGAGGCTAAGTTAAAATTTAACAATATGAAGGCTTTTGAGGACAGTACAAATAAGCAAAATGCTAAATTAGCGTTTTCTGCAAATTCTGCAACACATTCCAACACACAGGATCGACTTCGTGGTGATTCTGGGTTTTACGAAACCTAATGTTTAAAATAAACTCAAATCATTTACTAACTAATAATTCCCTTGTTTCAATTTATATGATAGGTAGCCAACGACCCTATTCACATAATTTACATAGTTAAGTTATTAGCATTGCCCATGGATATCTGCAACACTTGAGAGTATTTAGGTAGGTACCTACATAATGTGTAGGTGTATGTTGCCGCCTTATCAGTGATTTGAGGATTGGGTGTGAGAGGAGGGGAGGGAAGTCTCGAGTAACCGCGCATTCACACTATGAAACACAACTCAACTGTTGTTTTGAGCCGGTTTTCTGTAAGGTCGTGGAATACATCAATGAAGCATGACTCTTGCAGACATAGCTATTTTTTAAAGACCTGTCTTTCAAATTATAAATCAATTACTTACACAACATTACATTCAACTATATGTATACCCACATGTCTGACTGCTGCGCAGCAGTCAGTTGTCCAACAACGTCTCGTTGGTTAAATTCTTGCTCGCGCAGTTGTTCAAAAGAGCACTTTATTGTACAACTTGTTATGACGTTCTTTGTTTTAAGCATGGACGGGGCTACATAAAATATAATATAGGTACATAGAATATTTACAACATTATTGGCACTTCTTAATTATTGAAGCAAATTAGTTTCAGACAAAGTCGGGATTGTTTTTAAATAGTTGAACAAAGAAAGCTATTTTATTATAAAGCTATTAAGATAACGTTACCTAATTAACTTTAGATAACAGCTTATACTAAATATTTTAACTTTCTTTTCCATGTTTTTATTGAATTTCTTCAAAGTTAGATTAGAAATACTTATACATTTAAGCAGAAAAATCATTGATCAGTTCTTTAAATTCGCGGACAGCTAATTTACGCTCGAAGAAAATTATGATAACTGAACGCATTAGTTGTCAGTGTCATAGTAAATGTCATTTCAATGTCGTATCTTTCAATCGGCGACTTGACGTGTTGATGTTTTTTTGATTACATATTTCAAAAGTTCAGTTCCAGTTCAGTGCCGACTCCTGTTGAACAAATAATTATTTTCAATTTGTTGTGTCGTCACTTAACAGTTATGTGGTTTAATGGGATCGCTGCAGCGACTGAATATTGATAACGTAAACAGCTAAGATATAGTCGTATCACTAATACACACGTACTGGGTATCCTTATCACCTTGCTCACAAGTGCTTCTATTTTTAATTTTGTTTTAGGTAAGTTTCTTATTCTGAATTATTTGTATCAATATAATTAGCAAAGTCATATTACCTATATTTGCAATTTGAAACCAATAGGTAAATAACATTCGGTAAAGTTAAGCTTTTAATAAATTGTATTTGTACCTATTTCCTTTCCCCAGCCAGAGTGTTTAGTCATACAAATATTGTGCTTCAACGAACTGAGTAAATTCATTTTGAATTATGATTTGGGTTAACCTTCAAAGGTGATATTTGAGGTGTAATTTACTTACATAATTTTGTAAATATTTAATAATAGATTAAAAAGTAAATGTTAGTTTAATATTACACTTTCGTAAAAGTGCTAATAAACATTTTGATATTGCAGAACCATGGAGTTGCAGTGCAAAGTACAAAATTATGAATGGGGCAAGTTAGGACTGGAGAGTACAGTGGCAAGATTGCTGTCCACGGCCCACCCAGATATTGTTATTGATCAGTCAAAGCCATATGCAGAACTCTGGATGGGCACTCATCCAAATGGGCCCTCAGTCATCATTGGTAGAGATGTCCTGCTCTCTGATTATATCAAAGACAATGTAGATGCTATTGGACCCGATGTGAGGAAAAAGTTTGGTGTAGCAGTACCCTTTTTGTTCAAAATACTGTCCATAAGAAAAGCCCTTTCTGTGCAGGCTCATCCTAAAAAGGTAAAGATACCTGATGTAGTTCCATTTCTAGGTAGAATTTTTGTCTTTTTATCTTTAGACTGAAATAATAAATGTATGTGTAGATAAGTAATTATGTAGGCACATTGTTTTACACCATAAAACATTTGACTAAACAATGACACAGCTACATTTTAAAATAGTTTTGTTATCTGCATATTAAGCTGTGGCAAATCTTTCTTAGATGTTTTTCATTATACCATATTTTTGTAGACAAAGGTGTTGGCCTCACACAATTTTCTGGTTCAAAATCAAAATATATATATAAGATAAATTTAAGAAAAAAGTTAAATTTTAACACATTTCAGGACCATGCTGAGGAACTTCACAAGAACTTCCCAGATATGTATAAGGATCCGAACCACAAGCCAGAACTTGCTATAGCACTGACACCTTTTGAGGCTCTCTGCGGCTTCAGACCACTGAATGAAATCCAGTACTTCCTTAAAAGTAGGTGTTTATTTATAAATAACCCAGAGATACTCGGGTATCATTGGAATTCTAGCCATAACTTAGCATTGAAATAAAGTAAAAAATATCGAACTACTATAAAGTAGCATTTCAAATTTTATTTAAAAGAAATCTAATATTGTAGTCATAGGCAGAAGAAGATTTATTTTCCTCCTAACACTTCTGTGAATTAATTTAAGGAAAAAATTTATTAATTTATAAGTCATGTTTTGCATAACAAAAACAAAAACCACAGCATTTATTTCATTAAGCACCAACAAATCTTAATACTTAGAAAACAGAAAATGACAGTTCTAAATGATCATGATATAAGAACTACTACCAAGAAGTACTATGAAATTATATGTAGTATATGTATGTAGTTACTCTTTTTCCCTTTATTAACCAATGCACATTCTACATAACTAATAATATGTATTGTACATTTCAGAGTTACCAGAGCTAGCCAGCATGTTATCAAAGGAATGTGTAGACAGCTTACTAGGGCATCAGGAACAAGGGGACAGTCAGGCTGTTCTTAAACCTGTGTTCCATTCTTTGATGACCAGCGACAAAGCTGTAGTCGCTAACACATTGAACATTTTGCTGGACAGATTGAGCAAGGAAGGTAAGAATGGATAAAGATTCTCGTATTTATAAATCACTACACTGTATAAATCGATTACTTTGTCCCTATATCCCTATATATGCTTAAAATAGTGGAGAAAAAAGAGAAAAGTATCATTATTGCACTTGTGCGGAGCGGGGCCGGGTCACTAGTACAAAATAAAATTCATTGTTTTGAAAATGGTATTTAATTAGTTCTAAGCATGATTCACCCCTTCTATACCTCAAGTCTTTGTCTCTCTTCTTGTGTTATACATTTTTGTTAAACCTTACTCTTGCCTGAATGATTATCCTGTATAGATGTTGTAACTGGAATGCCTTTGTAGAATAGAACATGAGGTAACTACCCAATATCCTTTTAATCTTCATTCTTAAATGTGAGATGGTTATCATTTAATAACTTAATTAAGACTGGTTGATTACAATGCACTTAAAATAGTACAAATATGACACATTTGCCCTTGACATTGAAAGATAACTTTCTTATAGTTTTTTATTGAATGTTTTCACAGATGAAAGAACACAAACGAATCTGCTCTACTCATTGGTGCAACGGCTCCATACTGACTTCCCTGGTGATGTGGGTTGTTTCTCACCATACTTTATGAACTATATGCTACTGAGACCTGGACAAGCCATCTTCCTCAAACCTAACTTGCCACACGCCTATTTGAGTGGAGGTATGTTATACATGTTTTTTTTTCCGGATTGCCTTTGAAAATGTGGTCCTGTTATTTGGAAATAGAGAAAATTGTATTGTACATAGTCAATTTTATAAATATATGCTGTTTTCGAATTTCGACCCGAATGTAACGGTCGCTACCCCAGCGTCAATAGAAATTAAAACAAGATTATTCGCCGCGTGGCTTAACCAGATTGGTCATATTTCAGCTCTCAAGTCTCAAATATCTAAACACAAAATACATACGGTAAAAACGAGGTTCCTAATACGCGAAGAAATCAACTTTCGCATTTATAAATAGTAAGGATTAGGGCGTTTCCGATTCTGAGAAATGATTTAAAAAATTGCTTATTTGTAATTGCTAAGCTAAGACTTCGAAATCATTTTATCACGGTTCAGATATTTACTGGTTCCAGTAATTGGTAAATATTTAACGTAAAGCAATTATGCGTACTTAATCATTGTGCTTATTATTTGGCTAATGACGGTAAACAAAATTATTTCTTAGTGACACCATAAATATGTATTTAATTCAATTTAAAACTTGCTGGTCTGTAGAGATAATATTTAACAAGCTCAGTATCTATGCATTATTATTAATGAATATTTTTAAACATTGATCTATTTCTGGTTCAAAGTTAAAATTGTGGTCAAAAATCGCATTGTCTCTGATCTACAACAACGGCACTTATTAATACACTTAAATATCATTCAACTCTACAAATAAGATTTACAGTATTATTATTACGATTATATGAATGTGCAGTTTATTTTACCGAAGCTTATCCCACAGATTAATGAGATATGATTTAGACTAAATTATAAACAATTGTATTTCTTACCTTACCCTATAGATTAGTTGAGCGCACGTTCCAGGTATTAATAAAACACAATACAAATCATAATTTCTTCATAACAATTACATTCGCTTTTTCAAGATAGACAGCTTTTCGCCAATGTCTCCAGCCAAAAAATTTTTTTGAATAAGTTCTCTTTGGAACGTCAAATATGGATTAATCGCAAGTCGCCGATTGTTTACCATCAGGTACTTAACATATCTCCTAGTTTGCCACCGTGTCACGTAAAAATAAACCTTTGTAAGACCACAGAATCTTGAATTGTGCTCGGTAACTAGCAGTAGGCTCCTCCCTATTATAATATGACTGGTACATTATTGAAAATATACATTACACAGTAATGCTGCCTGCCCTTTTGTGGATTAAAAAACATAATAACATTTTATATTATTGTTTGTTTCAGATTGCATCGAGTGTATGGCTTGTTCAGACAATGTGGTACGTGCAGGGCTGACTCCTAAACACATTGACGTGCCAACCCTGGTCGACATGCTGGACTATAGCAGCTATGCACAGGAACAGTTACTGTTCACCCCTCAGCTTGAAGATGGAAACTCCTGTATATGGAGGCCGCCTGTACCTGATTTTGCCGTCGTCAAAATAAGGGTTTGTATTAAGATAATATTATAAGAGATTGGATGTTGTGTTACTAAGATAAGGGTTTTTTTGTGAGGGGAAAATCATCAATTGACTTCTCCCGCCCAGGGCCGGGCGGGAGGGAGTGTCAGACTCTTACTGACTAAAAACCCCCCTGTTCCTTGTCCTGCTCTAGGCCGAGGTTGCGGTGCCTTATTGCGCTTACCCCGCCACCCCGGCACTAAGATAAGGGTGGAGTAAAAACTTCTGTTGGGTTATAAAATCAGGCAAATGTTGTTAGCAAATTAGCAACCTCTTCTCTTATTAAATTTAAATAACAATCAGCTAGTAAGTTTCCGACAATTGATATTAATGCTTCTTTCTAACTTCTTGATCACAATTAGATATGTCTTATTTAATTACTAAAAAAAACGTCTTATCCTAAGATTTTCTTATGTGTTGAGGGTGCGTTTGCAAATTGCAAATTTCACATACATCATATCACACCCAGACCCGGAACAACAATTTGAATATCACACAAAGTGTTTTTCCTGCGACATGTTGCGCGACAGCCGAGTTGCCCAGTCACCACGCCAATCGTGCAGTCAATCATTAACTCATGTAAGAACTACCCAAGGTTTGACTGGTAGAAAATGGCTTTCGTATTACTCAAAGATACAAAACGTCCCTGAAACGTTTTAACACATTCAGTCCCACCGACTCGCGCAGAGAGTCCACGTAAATTTTATTCCAGGGCCTTGGACTCGCCCGGCGAGTTCGACGTAAGGCCGCTATCCCACTAGGCGGTTTACTAGCGTTGATGTCAACGTTATGTTAGCGCAGTGTCGAAGCCGCTCTGACGAGACGTTAACGCCGCGTCGTCGCGTAGCAAGCATTAACGTCCGTGAGATATCATTGTGAAAATCGTAGTGGTAATGATAGCGTTAAACAAATAAGACAAAATAATACTTTACAACCTTTAATCTCTACGAACAATATAAACTTTAATAATAATTATATACTTACAGGTGGAAAGCGGCGACTGCTACAACACTCAGAACCGATCCAGTCCAAGTTTGATCATCGTAATATCAGGTGAAGGCGAGGTTTGTGACACTGAGCCCATACCCGCCAAGCCTGGAGTCGTGATCTTCTTGAAAGCCAGTCGGCAACTTACCCTCACTCCAATAGAAGACAGTCATCTGGAAGTCTACCAGGCAATCTGCAATGTATGATAGTTTTAAGTGCAGAGTGAAGTGAATTTTTGAGGCTAATTTTACTTTTGTATAAGTGGTTGAGAGTCTGAATACTGCGATAGTAGAAAGCAGTAAAGAAGAGATGTAATGACTCCGTTTTATTAAAGGAATAAGTTTTTAATCGTCATCATTATATCGGCTAAACAACGTCTACTGTTGAATATAGTATTTCCCTCAATTATTTCTAGATTGGTCGGCTGTAAGCCTTTTGCATCCAGCGAATACTTTATCAGGTCATCTCACCTTGTAGTGGGATGTCCTGCCAAAAAAGTTTTATTCTAAATAATTAATTATTACTACAGTAGTAATTAAGTTCATGTTTAAATTCATATCACCAGCCGACAACATCTGATTTTTTTTTTAATTGAGACATGGAATTTCACATTATTCTATTACTTACAAATATTGGTGGATTTATCCGGGAAATAATCCGGCTGATAACGATATCGATGATTTTTTTATCCTAAACAGATTCGTTTTATTATTTAGTCAAGTAAAAACGACCTAACAAATAAGCAATTTTTTATCACAAATAATAAGATTTCTATGACAGAATAATAATAATAATTTTAATGCTGACTTCTTTCAGATAATATTTTTTATATCTAAGGTACATAGGCTAAATGACATGTTACGAATTATTTTTACAGGAAATAAATTTTAAATACGCTTTATTTTTTTATGGAAGCTGTTTGCCTTTCGCTTTCATTGAAAAGTATTAAGTATAATTTGTGTTTTGGAAAATGTATTAACCTAACTGTGGAAACATTGTTATGATCATATCATTAGTGGATTGTTATTTTATTTCTCTATTAATGTTCCTATATTATTTGTATTTTATCAATAAATTGTTGTGTAAAATAATAGTATTTACCATATATTTCCTATTTACGAACCTTCTGAATATTTTTTTCTGTTCTACCTTTGTTCAGGGCACGCTACCAGAAAATAGCCTTTACAGAATTCGGAATTAATTTACGAAATTAGTGATTATTGATTAACTCAGAGAGTTAAAACAAAGATCTTCTTTTTCAGTCTTATAAGTGGTAAAACTATTTATTGTTTAAACATAACGGCAAAGTAACGTATGCGCGTTTCTGATACGTTTTACAAAGATTGGAGTTCAAAAAGTGGGTTGGCTTCTGAGCCGAGGTCTGACGGACAAGCGTGGAAACGTAACCTACTATGTGGCGGAAGCGGAGATCAAAATATGAAATTTATTATTTCGCTATTGTCTAGTATTTATTGATCATGCATTACACGTCACTTCTTCGCTTTTTATTCCACAATTATATACACAAAATACTCATGTAGAATGCGACCTTCTTTTCCTTCGATACCTAAGTAAAAAGAAAAAAAAAAGTATAAAAAATAAACAATTTAATATCTATGAATATGGACTTTTTGTTTACTCTATCATAATTGGTTAGGAAATAAGATTTTTAGGTCTCCTTTCCTAACTAGTTAAGGAAGAAGAATATATTATCCATTTTCCTAACTGCTTTTCTTAACCAGTTAGGAAAATGGATAAAAAATTCTTATTCCTTAACCAGTTAAGAAAAAGCGAATAAAAATTCTTGTTTCATAGATAGTTAAGAAACATAGTTAAGAATATGGACTAAAGCGAATGTATTGCGGCCCCGGCCTGGAGCAGAAGAAGGAACGAGCTGCTTGTTAGTCAGTAAGTGTCTGAAACTCTCTCTCGCCACCACCCAGGGTAGGACAAGCCATAATTATGAGGAATTTATCCCCACAAACAAAACCTACGGTACCTACTCATGATACTGCATAATTGAGTTAAAATTGATTTTTAATTTGTAGATATGGACCCTCACATACCTCTGCCTACTCCTTGGAGGTTGATATTACCTAATTTTTATTTAATATTTTATCTACACAGTAAGTTCGACAAGAACAATAAAAACAATAACTCACACAGCTGACATGACAGCTTATTTCTTCTGTTATCTCTTCCAGTTGGCGCGTTATGGGAGAGTTAGAATAGAGATGTAGACTGAATGTGTAAACAGAATAAGGAAGAAAGAAAAACAATGAGAATGAAATATATAGAAATATAACAATAAGATAAACAGTTTTCGTCATTTAATTTTAGTGTATTTGAAACTGAATGACGAATGGTCGCGGTTGGTAATGCGAAGAAATAATGAACTCATTTCACGGTGGTCTAGGTACCTCTATTGTCGGCGGTCGCTCGTTGGCTAATGTAAAGCTCGATGATGCTTTTTTTTTTTTTTTTTTTGTGAGGGGAAAATCATCAAATGACTTCTCCCGCCCAGGGCCGGGCAGGAGGGAGTGTCAGACTCTTACTGACTAAAAACCCCCCCTGTTCCTTCTCCTGCTCTGTGCCGAGGTCGCGGTACCTCATTGCGCTTACCCCGCAACCCCGGCTGAACATCAGCCCTTTAGGGCCCCGTCTGTGGTGGTCTATTGGCTCTTTGAGGCGCGCGCGGAACGCTACGCGCCGTACGCTCGGGCCTGGTTCTGGTCGGGCGGCGAGCTGCCCTTACTCGCCGACCGCAGGCCCGTACTTACGGTGGCCGGAGATCGTCCCTCGATCCCCGACGCCCGTAGTGTCGCCAGTTGCGGCTGCTGGGGCGTGAGGAGGAGGATTGCTCCCTCACGCGGGCCGCCTCTCTCTTTGCGAGCATGACTGCTTCACAAAAGGAGGAGACGGCGTCCCAGTTCCTCTCACTCCGCACCATGGCCTCGACTAAGGCCGGGCGCGAGAGGTCGCCGCCGCCGATCACTTCCCTGAGGATACGGCGGTGCTCAGCCCAGGCAGGGCATACCGCTACCGTATGCTCCACCGTATCCTCTAGGTGGTCCTCACAATGACGACACTCGGGCGTTTCCTCCCGCTGAATCCGAAACAGGAACCTACCGAAGCTGCCGTGCCCGGTAAGCACCTGCGTCAGACGGAAGGTGAGGACGCCGTGGCGTCTCTCAAGCCACTCCTCAAAGAGGGGTCTTACCGCTGCTATGGTAGCGTGCCCGGCCCTCGGTTGCGACAGTCGTTGTCTCCACTCTGCCATGAGATCTCGCCGGAGCTCATTCCGCCACGCACTTATTTGGCGCGGCAGAGGATCTTCGCCCCGGCGACGCGCGTCTGCGCGCAAACTGTAGACGCGCGCGAGCGCCTTCGCTTCTAGATCCCACGGCGGTGATCCGGCAAGGAGGTTCGCCGCCTCCCCGGAGATCGTGCGATACCCGCGGATTACTCGTATAGCCATGACCCTCTGGGACGCGACCAGCGTACGAGCCGGCCGCCGCTTCAAGTCCGGCGCCCACACAGGGGCACCGTAGAGGGCCATGGATCGCACAATCCCCATATACAACCTCCGGCAGGAGGCGTTTGGCCCCCCGAGGTTGGGAAGGAGCCGCTTGAGCGCGGCCCCAGACCGTTCGAACTTAGGGGCCAAACGACGAAAATGCTCCGTGAAGTTCCATCGGCTGTCGAGGACGAGACCCAGGTACTTCATCGCCGACTCGACGCCGATGGTAACTCCTCCTGCCGTTACTTGGGACCCACCTGGAGGTGGCGCGCTCTGACGGCCATAGAAGCACATGGCCTCGGACTTGTGGAGCGCCACCTCGAGTCCCAACTGCCGGATCCTTGCAACGACTGTCGCAACCGCTTGTGACATCAGGTCGGCCGCCGCCTGATGCGACCTCCCGTTCGCCAGCACCAGCGTGTCGTCAGCATAACAGACAATGCTGACGCCGCTCGGGAGGTCGGTGCGTAGCACCCAATCGTACCCGATGTTCCACAGGAGAGGTCCCAGGACCGCTCCCTGTGGGACACCGCGCGACACCTCTCGCCGATTCCACACGCCCCGGTGACCGGGGTAGATGACGCATCTGTCCGTCAAGTAAGCCTCGACTACACGACGGAGATAGGCAGGCACCCGGTGATACCGGAGTGCCTCCAAAATGCAGCTCCAGGGCAGCGAGTTAAAGGCGTTGGCGATGTCCAGAGACACCGCCACGACGACTCGCCTCCCGGCCAACGCTGTCCCCGTCGTGAGGTCCCTCACGCGCATGATGGCGTCCACCGTGGAGCGCCCTCTGCGGAAGCCGAACTGGCCGTCCGCTAAATCCGGCCCCCTTCCAGACAGGTGCCCGACGAGGCGGTCTGAGATTATCCTCTCGAACAGCTTTCCCACCTCGTCGAGTAGCACAATGGGCCGGTACGCGGACGGGGAGTCCGCAGGACGCCCCGGCTTCTTCACGAGGACCAGTTTACCCGTCTTCCACGACAGCGGAAACTGGCCTCTCTCCAAACATGCGCTGAACAGACCAAGTAGTCGAGGCCTGAGAGCCTCCGAGGCCAGGACCCAGACCTTGGCATGCAGCCCGTCAGGTCCTGGGGCGGTATTCTTGCTGCTCAGCTGGCGCACCGCCACTCTCAAATCTACCTCGGTCACTTCCGGAGCGGATTCGTCGTCGTCGTCGATGTAGCCCGCATTGGGCACCGCAGGGGGCGGGGGCATAGCCGGAGGCGTGTAACCCATCTGTGGTCGGGGGAATAGCGCCCCAACCACTTCGTCCACGACCTCCGGCCGGAGACTCTGAGTCAGTGGGGGCGCCCAGGTGCGGAGCTTATCACGCACCATCCGGTAGGGGCGTCCCCACGGGTCTCTGTTCAGAGTCTCCAACATCTCCTCGCGGTCCCGATCTTTGGCCCGCCGGATCTCCACCCTGAGGGTGGCCTTCGCCGCCCTGTACTCCTCGTATAGCTCCGCCTCTCTGGTTTCAGCGTCCAGAGGGCGGAGACGGAGCCTGCGGTGCCTGGTGTATCGGCGTCGCGCTGCGGTGCACTCACCGCGCAGGTCTGCCAATTCCTGCGACCACCAATACACCTGGCGCTTGCGTTGGCACGGTCGGATCCGGGGCATCGCCACGTCGCACATCCTTGACATGGCGTCCTGGAGCCATCTCGCCTCCTCGTTAATGTCGGCTGGCCTGACCGGTGGTATCACCCAGGCCTGCACGACTGCGGCTTCCAGGAAAAGCTCCCGGTCCAGTTGCCTAAGCGCCCAACGCGGGCCACACGGGGCCTGTCTGACTGGCGGGTCTGCGGACTCGGCGGAAACGTCGAACCGTATATACCGGTGGTCCGAAAACGTCTCCACCTCCTCCATGACGCGCCAGTCAACAACGCGCGATGACAGAGCGGGGCTAGCAAACGAAATGTCCACCACTGACTCGCCCCGCATCCGTACGCACGTGGGGACAGAACCCCGGTTCAGCACGACTAGGCCTGTCTCCAGAGCCCAGTCTTCGACCATCCTTCCCCGGACATCAGTGAGCCGGGAACCCCAAGCCAAATTCTTGGCATT